TATTTTCAATCAAATTCAACGCTAAAAATCAAGTAAAAGGCGCCTATGTCAATACATTCAACATTATTTCATTTGTTATTGTTTTATCGCTTTTCGCATTTCTTCTTTATTTCGCCGTGATAGCGATAACAGCAGCACCAGAGAATGTCCAAGAGTTCATTATAATTTTCACGTCCAAAGCACTTTTGATCTGCGAACTGACATTTTCCATCATTTCAATTGTGATTGGAATGTCCAGCAGACATCATTTAATTGAAATTGTGGAGGAATTGACAGAAATCGATACTGAAGTAAGTAGATCACTATTGATACTATAAAGGACGCATACTGAAATGTTTGTCTTATTCGCATAGATGTCATCGCTGAGTGTTCGAATTGATTACCACAGGGATCGCAAACATGTTGTACGCACCGTCTTAGCATTTCTGGTACTCTTAATAGTGATGTGTTTAATGTGTTGGTCTATCTACCGTGGTGTATTTATTATTTAATTTTGCTCTCAATTATCCTATACATTGGATCTACAATGACTTTAGAAGTACGTGCACAAATTTTGAAAAATTTTCATATTTTTCTACTATCACCATATTTTGATTAGATTTTCTTTCCAAAAAGGCTAAAAACGCTTCTATAGTCATCCACAAAGCAATGAACAAATGTCAAAATCGGAAAATTATTTCACGGGTAAGGCTATATAGGTTCATGTAAAGTTCATATATCAATTCTTTCAATAAATTTTTCAATTTGCTCCCGAAATCAGTTGGAACAATTTTCAACACAAATTCAGCATCAACATTCTGTAGCATCATGCGGTTTTTTTCACATTCAATAAGACACTACTGTAGTCGGTGCGTTTTGCATGATGCACAAAATTGAAATCAAAATTTTATTGCTTTGTTCCAACTGTTTATGTTCTACACTAGTTCGTTGGCTGTGCCGCATATCTCACGACCCTAATTCAATTCAACTCGCCGAACAGAGCCCACGAAAACAACCGATCCAATTCTGAGAATCAATGAACACCTAATCGAAATATCAATTCTGCTTGACTTATCACTGTTTGATGTTTGATTTTGACCAATTTAACACTGAATAGCAAAGAAAGTGTGTTTCAACTAACATACTAAGTAAGTGAGAAAAATGTGTGAAATTCCATCTAAATCATAGAGTTCCATTTCTCAGCTAATAATCTTAACCCTCTAATGCATACAACCGCCCCTAGACGGGCAACATTTGAACGCCTGTATAACGTAAACCGTACGTCGAATCACATTGCTTCAAAAGACATTTTTGTTCTTCGAGGTGTCCTCTATAATTTTTATTTTTTGCACTATTAGTGTACATCAAGTGGTTGTCGTGTTATAATCAAAAATGTGTGCAAAAACAAAAATTAGACAAAATAAATTATTTAGAGCACACGTTAGACAATTTTTTGACACTTTTAAACAATGCATTTGATTGTTCTCCGATGTCAATCGCATTTCCTGACTAAACCATGGGGAATCTAGGATTACGGATATTTTTTCAATTATTTACGACCAAAAATCAACTAAATACCAGTACTCCCAGCCCTGGAAAAAATTAATGCATTAGAGGGTTAAGGTAATGGAAACTTTCGTTGAGAAAACACTAACTTATTTAACTAATTTCAAATAATGAAACGAATAGTTAATATGAATATGACTATGTATTTAATTTTAAAATCTCTTTGAGATCACATCATTCAATGGCAAATAAATTATTTCCACATTTTAAATTGACTCAGCCTTATAGTAGCAATTGGAAAATTCTCCTAGAACCTGTGAAATAAAATTACATTTGATTAACGTTTTTTGACGGAATTCATTATGCATAATAACTTACCGAAAATTAAAGCAAATATAAGGAAAATTTGTGTTGATTTGGGCTTGAATATTTCGTTGCTCCCACTATATGCAATTAATTCACTGAATTCGCCACGTCCGCCCAATAATGGCAAAACTTCCTCGTGATCTAATAAAAGTCACTGATTCACACAAAATTTTCATCGATTTTTTAATTGATCAATTACCGCTATGAACAGCATAATCATATGCCAAAAATCCGTATTTATTTTTTTGGTCGATTTTTGCACCATTATCGATTAGAAATTTAATCATATTATATTGACCTGAAAAATATTCACATTTTAGTGATACAATTTCATCGACAATTCAGTTTGATTTCTAAATGCGTGCAAAATAAAATTACCATGAGCTGCGGCTTCCATAAGTGCGGTTGTTCCGTCAGACGATGAATAATTGATATCGAATTTATCGTTTAGTTCCACTTTAATTTTTTCCTCATCACCTATCAAAGAGAAAAATCGTTTATATATATAACTAATCTTTTTCCATCATTCACTCAATTCAAACTGACACACCTATCGCAGCAGCATGCAAAATGGGAAAGCTAGTATGAAAATGACCGAAAAGAAGTTAAAAAAACAGTGAAAAACATTCAACTTTTTGAATCATTCATCAATTCAATGTAATTAATCTCTTTCTAAAAGAAAATTCACCTTCGAACATATTTGACGACATCTTGAGCTCCATCAACAATATCACCCACATCGCTCAACGATTTACGTATTTTATCAAGAAAAGCACCAATCTTGACTGAAAAATAGTTGCACCGTTCTCAAATTTATTCACTTTATAAGTAAAAAACAACTCTCGGAAATTTCAAATACCTCCTGAAACTGAGCCTATGCACAAAACCAGCACGACGGAGAGCTTCATTTTATTCGACACACGTTTGTCGAAACTTAATGTAAATCGTTGTAGACTCACGAAACGTTGGACGCCAACTGATTGAAAGAGAATTTATTAATGAGCAACGACCGCAACAAAGACTACGTTGGATATTCACACATCTCTGTGAGTCATCAAGTTCATTCATACTTTTGCTATGCTACGTATTGTAACACCACAGACTCTTTTGCTGCTTTGCTATACATACTCTTCTTTGTATTCAGACGTGATACATCCATGACTCACTCAACATACCGACTCGAATATAAAAGTGTTTTGTTCTAATTTCGGAGCCAGCAGCATGGAGAAAGACACTCGGCGGCGATATTCTGGATATAAACGAAAATTGTTCTGCGCTTGCTTCAAGATTCTGAATGAATACCATATGGAATGTACTGTTACAAAATAAAACGTAGATAAATATTGTATGGCTAGTGAATAATCGTTTGAACAATAACATTCAGCGAACAATCACTCCGGAAATAGCTGCTTATTACTTTTAATTACTGCAAATATCTCCATGAGGAGGAGAGTATGACTTATTGAAAGATTATATCACACATCACCTCTGTATGCGGAATAATTTATCATTGAAGTAACAAAGTGTACTTGGAACGATGCGCAATTGTTTTTTTTTAAATTTTGATGGATTTTCTTATTTTGAATCTCGTCGATAGATTCCCTCGCTTCGATTTTTAGAATATCATTTGGAAGACTTCTTGTCTCTTTTTTGCTGAATTGTGATTGATTAAGTTTTATTCAATTCAGATATGAGGAATACCATTAAAACCGCTACTTAACAATTTCATAGTCTCACGAATTCCTATTCGAAATAAAATGGTAATGGAGATAAAACGGGTTTTTCGATTTGGTTAAAATTCTTTTTTTATATTTCACCCAGAGAACACGTTTACATTATTAGAACTGTTCGGTTTATCTTGTAAAATTGTCATTTGTATCACAGATTATCGTACCAAATTTATATTGACGACAATCAATTTAATGAATAAAATTAAGAGAAATCATGAATTAAATTCGTTTATCAATGTATATATCGTTATACCAATCATACATGAAATATAAAAAATAGCCTAGTAATACTCATTTAATTATTGTTGACTAATTTATTTATATCTGAGCTATTTTCATTGTTTATTATATCCGAGTATGCTATGTTGTCTCTGAATCAGAGCGTGTTATCACAGTGGCGTGTGATATCAGCAGCACTAACTGACGTGCTGCTGACATCAGCTGATAACACGCGCTCTGCTCTGAATTGAAATATATCCCTATGTTTTGTCTAAAAGAGTGGCATTTGGATTTCTAAGCGCAAAACAAGTATAACCGATTCATTTGAAATGCAATCGCAAGTTAACTCAGATTCGTCCTCTTTTCTGTTTAAATCACTGCGTGGATTGTACTTTTTTGCGCAGATCTTTGGCAGTGCATCATTTTTTTATTCACCAGAGATCGGCGTACATGTTAAACCAATAAATGTAGTAACTCTTCTGTATGCCACCGTGATTTACTCTGCTATATCTTATCTAAATATGACCAGTGAACTGACAATCCATGCCAGTGGCTATCAAGCAATTATTTTCTATGCTGGTATGCATGGTTTCTTATCGTTTGCACCTTCATCAGTTTGGGTTTTTCCAATCTATTTGCACATGATCAGAAAAGGGGTAGCCAAAATCATGGCCTTAGATAGTGAAGTTAGTATTGAAAAAAATATGGTATTATTCAAACTGATTTTTCAAATGAATGCTTCAAAAAAGATTCCAGATGAAAGAGATGGGTATCATGTTCCGACACACAAACTATTATCTACGTTACGGAATCATTTATTGTATTTGGTGCATTTCAGCACCGTTTTCCGTTCTGTCTTCCTACTATTTCACAGAATTCTACGTCGATGGGCAATTTATATTGGATTCACACTCATTTTCGGCAATCACATGCTTCTTGCTGCAATTATTATAGTACATGGCATTTAAGGTGACAATATTATTAGAGAATTTTCATTTTCAAGACTCAAAATTGGAATAATAAATCAATTGTTTCATTTGATTCAGCTACATTTTTATACCATCACCGAAAATCGTTTCACCACCACGTCTACCATTAATTGAGTTGCAGAGAATCACATTCAAACTGGCAAAGATTCATGATCGTCTATGCCAACTATTCTTTACGACTGGCCATTATTCTGCCGTTGTGGTAACTTTCTTTTCTAAATTCTATTCACATATTTCATTGATTTTGAACACACCTCTTTACCAAAATTGATTGTGATCAAAATGGAATTGTACTCTCTAGCTGATTGCCGGACCAGTGAACATTCTTTTTCTTACGCTGTTGTCGTTGGAAATGCTCTTTGTGGGATTGATTGAACGGAATTTCAAATTGCAGATGCTGGCTGCATGTTTCATATATTTCACTATTCATGGATATATGATGGGTCTCAGCATAGTTCATACGGTTGTCTCCACCTCATCAAAAGGTCGATATACAGGAATTCTAGTTCATCGTGCACTTCTACACATCAACGATACTGATTTGATGATAAAGGTTAGAATATGATCGGTAATTTCCATTTGGGTATTCAAATTTAGAACACCAATGAATAAAAGGATGTTTCATTCTTTAGCTGGATCTATTTTCTATGCAAATTCTACATTGATAATTTTCGATTATGATTGGGCGTTAATATTTTCGGTAATTATTTCGAAAAGATGTTAACCTAAATTATCATTAAACTAAATAAAACCGTTTGAATTTAGATTTTCCCGACAACGCTTTCATATACATGTATCGTAATACAGTATCAATACTTCTTATCTACGGCAACTAATTAAAGATTCAGTCAATAGAACCGGAATTTTATCAACCATACACATCGACATATGTTGGTACATTTAATTGAATTCCATATTAGTTGGCATCACGCAAAAGGATTGTGCACGGCATAGTAAATGCTGATGAAAGAACTTCTTTCCTACACAAATAAAATGCACCTGATGGTAATGCACAGTTGATTTGTAAATGTCAATGTCAATTGTTCGCTACAATGGATTCCTCTGAGTTGTACTTTTATGTTAATTTAACTCATAATAAAAGTGTGATTGATAAACAAAATTAACAAAATATATCGATTCCATATGAGCAGTAAGTCACTGGGTATTAATTAAAAATTATCAAATATTTTCATCGTTCGTTATTCGAGGTCACCTTTCATCGCATTTTGATGATTCATGAACCAATGGTTCTGTCGACTATTGTTGAATTTTATTGAAACAATGGCTATGCCGCAGGCTAGTTTCAGTCGATAATTTGTTTATTTCTGATTGCAACACACTCGAAATATTCAAATAAATTCTATGCACTGATTCCACATCAGGGTGATAATCAACGTCGTGAACGATTCAAAACAATTGAGCATTGTGATAATAAAATAAAATACGTGAATAAAATGCAATCAGCGATCGAATGTCTAACTGAAGTCGAATATATGCGCCGTACGAATCCATTGGACTATTTCATCAAGGAATGGCTGAGAATTGAATTACATGTGCTTGACACAAACGAAGAAGCGTATAAAATTATTCATAAAGCTGTTGAGAATACACAGCATGCCAAGTCATCGCGGCGATTTTGTGTTGCAAATATCTTCAGAGTTGACAATATGGATCGCGATACGAATGGTGATTTTTCCACAAATATTATGCATAATCATCGTTATTTGTTTCATTTTTCATTTGCATGCAATTTGCCGTGCATTTTACGCGAAGGATTGGTACCAGCACCGCAACACATATACAGTATGAATCGATTCCTGGGCGAAGGCATCTATTTTTGGGATGCTGTCGCAAATGCTGGCTTAAATTACAAATCACTGAACACTGTTTACATTCTTGTATGTCGTGTAGCTTTAGGTAAAACACAACAGGTCAAACAACTGTACTTGGATAACGGTCAATCGTTGAATTGGGAAGCCGGCGTGGATTCGATATTTTGTTCAGGCGAAAAATTCTCATCATCAACAGACGAAGAAGATGATTTCAAGGGAGCCAAAATTTACTGCGGACAAATCGGAGAGAGAAAACCCGAAGACCATGGATATTCCTTGTATAATGAATATGTTGTTCGAAATAAAGAACAAGTGATCGTTGAGTATATAATTAAACTCGAGAAGGAAGACAATGGAGATGAATGAACGTAGGCT